ATTTCTCTCCACTGGCCACCTCACCTGCCGCTCGCCAGCGGCTCATTCGCCGGCCGACTGTCAGTTACCTTCTGGTGCCACCTGCCTCTCTGCTGTGACCTCTGCAGGTCAGTCTCTTGGTGGTTTTCTGCTCTTTGCAGGCTGGACAGAAATGCTGCCCCATCTCAGGTGATTTCAGCTCTGATTGAGCACTTTAAAATAACAGAGGCTCCTAATGGACCTGTTGAGCTCTATCTTTGAACAGCGGGAGGAACAGGTTAAACCAGACTGGGGACCCTTAGGGAGCGTCTCAGGTCCTGGCTGGGATGCCTGTCCCCACCTCTTCTTACTTTCACAGGGCTCTGGCATTCGAGCCCCTGGCTTAAAAAGGTCCTTTCAGCTGAAGGTGACCCCCTCATCTGGGACAGGTTAAGCACAGTTCTGCTCCCCTTTATTTCTACAATAAAGACGACAACGTCGATAACAGCTTGTCACTGCCCCTGCATTCAGTACTGAAGTGATTGGAACCCAACACCGGTCAAAGCGGATCACTTGGCGCTACACAACGCCTGTCTGCTGGATACCTAGGCAGAGTAGGTGTGTTCATGTAAATACAGTTTTCTCCTGAAGTCTCTCACCCTCCCAGACTAGCTGCCAGGGCAGAGTTCGTTCAGACCCTGCTTACATCTGTAACCTACTGATCAGTGTGTTTATGGGTTTCTGCAGAGGACATGCAGCTGTTACGGCCCCCACTGACAAAGGGCTGATTTTGTAGCCCAGAGTGTGGCAGATTTTAGCTCTGGAGGCCCCGGCTCCCATCCCCGGTGCGTCAGCCAGGTTTGCACAGGCACCGTCACCGCTAGGGCGCAGGCAGCCAGTGGCAGTCGCGTAGCGTAAGTCTACCCTTCACAGGCGCTGACTTGATTTTTCCCGGTGCGTGGTCCGCCCCTGCTCTGCCTCCAGGCCCCACCCTCGCTCTGCCTTTTCCCCAAGGCCCTCCCTTCACTCTGCCTTTTCCTGCCCAGCCCTCTCCCCACCCGCCCTCCGCTCTGCCCCCTCCTCTGAGCGCCTCCCGCGGGGCTCCGCCCAACAGGTGATGTGTGACCAGCGCTGGGGCAGAACCACCGTAGCTGCTGGGTGCTTAGCACCCCCTATTGCTTTATGTGGGTGCTTGAGTCCCGGAATGCCCACTGAGTCAGCGCCTATGGTATCCTTAAAACTGGAGCGTTTCAGTGTAGACGCTACTTATGCTGACAGGAGGGGTAGGAATCCACCTGCCCGTGATGGAAGAATTCTTCCGTCGACCTAGCGTTGTCTACACCGAGGGTTAGGTCAGTTTAACGACATCGCTCAAGGATATGGGTTTTTCATCCCACCCCGAGTGATGTACCCCTGGGCCGATGTAAGGTCCTGGTGTAGACCAGCACTCCGAAAAGTTTCGCTCGTCCATTCAGTGACTGGAAAGAGTGTTGGGTGACATCAGGAGACTGACGATTGCTCGTGGGAAACGGGTGAGCTCAATTCACAGTCTGACAGCCCTGCCCCTCCTGCCGGAGCCACCCCCGCCCAAGCAACCCCAGATCCGGGCGCCAGGTGGAAAGGTAGGGGCAGGTTTTGAAGGGGCCGCAAAGCAGGGCCAGCATTAGACTCTCTGGGGCCCAGGGTAGAAAGCCGAAGCCTTGCCACCCCCAAGGGAGGGAGAGCTCAGTGGTTTGAGCATTGGCCTGCTAAACCCAGGTTTGTGAGTTCAATTCTTGTGGGGGCCAGTTAGGGATCTGGGGTGAAAATCTGTCTGGGGATTGGTTCTGCTTTGAGCAGGGGGTTGGACTAGATGACCTCCTGAGGTCCCTTCCAATTCTATGACCTGGGACTGAAGCCTGAGCAACTTAGCTTTGTGGGGCCCTGGGTGATTGCCTTGCTTCCTAACGTCGGCCCTGGCTTTTATACGCTGAAAAACAGTTGTGGTGGCACAGGTGGGCTGTGGGGTTGTTATAGCATGTTGGGGGCCCTCAGAAAGAAGAAGGTTGAGAACCCCTGGATTGAACAGCGTCACCTCACTCTAATCCTTGCCTCTAGATTCTACTGCAGGGTGGGCAAAATACGGCCTGTGGGCTGGATCCGGCCCGTCTAACATTTCTGTCCGGCCCCTTCGCGATCTCCGAGTCCGGGCCACTAAAAATCCCGCTGCCTGCCTGCCGTGGTCCCACACCGCTCCCAGAAGCGGCCGGCTGCTGCTGGCATGTCTCCGCGCGCCTCTGGTGTGTGTGTGTTTGTGTGGGGGGAAGGCGGCTCCACGCGCTGCCCCCATCCCCAGCACTGTCCTCACAGCTCCCATTGGCCGGAAACCAGCCAATGGGAGCTGCAGGGGTGGTGCTTGTGGCATGGGCAGCGCATGGAGACCTGCTGCCCCCTCCCCCCAAGGGGCGCGCAGAGATGTGCCAGCAGCAGCCGGCTGCAGCCGCTTCCGGGAACGGTGTGGGGCTATGGCAGGCAGTGTGCCTGAGCCCTGCTGCGCCGCCAGCCGGGAGCTGACTGTGGTAAGCACCTCCTGGCCAGAGCCTGCATCTCGCAACCACCCCCGCACCCCAACCCCGCCCCAGGTCAGAATCCCCTCCTGCATCCAACTCCCTCCCAGCCCCTGCAGCCCATCCTACACCCCAACCCCCTGCCCCCTCCTGCACCCAACTCCCTCCCAGCCCCTGCAGCCCATCCTACACCCCAACCCCCTGCCTCCTCCTGCACCCAACTCCCTCCCAGACCCTGCACCCCCTTCTGCACCCCAATTCCCTGCCCCAGCCCAGAGGCCCCTCCTACACCCAAACTCCCTCCCAGACCCCGCACCCCCTCCATTAAAACAGTAGAAATGTGCGGCCCGTGACGATTTACCACAATTCGCGGAGTGGCCCCCCTGCAAAAATTATTGCCCCCCCACCCGTTCTACTGGAACATCCATGATAGTTAAGCGTGTTCCTTGGAAATCATTTACTCTGGCGGCAAGTCAATGAGCATGGTTTTATGGCCCGCTGCGGGCAAGACATTTGCTCCATTCCATCATTCCCTCGGAAGTCGGAGTTGGAACAGAACTACTGCATCATAATGAAAGCCAATGTAAGGATCCAGGCCACTTACAAAGCACTTAGCGACTTCAAAGACTAGTGCAACCTCCGGTAATCCAGGAGGATTTCAACCAATGGGCTGCATTGCATTCTGGGAGATTCGGGCAGTTCTCCCATAAGCCACAGCAACTGATTTCCCATCCCCTGCTTTATAGCTTGTGAAAGCTAAAGGCAGTTTGTAACACGGCGCGGGGGCAACCCTTTCCCACGGCGCTGGACAAATCTGGGGCGTCAGGTGAACACACAAGCCAGAATTCAGCCTGAGATGGCGCCCTGGGCAACTGCAAGGAGCTAAGTGGATGGGGGCAGACCAATTTCAGAATAAACAAGAATGAGTCTATGTCTTTGTAGGGAGGTTGGCTCAGGGGTTAAGACGCTGGCCTGGGCCTAATAAGATCTGGCTTCAACTCTTTCCCCTTCCACACAGTCCCTGTGTGAACTCAGGCAATTCATATCATCACTCCGTGCCTCGGTTTACCCATCAGCAAAATGGGGATACTGATACTCACTGCCACACAGGGGCTGTGTGGGTGTTGTGGGGTGGGGGAGAGTGCACAAGCCCCTCAGTGCCATGGTGTATTGATGCTACACTAGTATCTGAGCAACAGGCCACGGATCTGTAGGACAGAAGGAACCATTCTGCCATGCAGCCTCGCCCAGGCTGCAGAACCTTTCCCACGGATCCCTGCCTCAGGCCCAGGTCTCGGGGTCGAGCTAGCACACCCTTAACTCTGCCCCCTTGCTTGTTTGCCCTTAACTCTGCCCCTTCATAGATTTCAAACCCATATCTGGTGGGTGAGCTAGATCTCTATGGAGCTCTATGGAAAGACTCCAAGGGAGGGAGAATCTATCCCATCCCTGGGGCACACGTTCCAAGGATCAATTCCCCTCGCTGGGGGAAATCTGCCCCTTGTTTCCAGTCTGGATTTGTCTGTCAGCTGTCAGACTGTGCTCTGCCTTTGTCTGCCCTCTGCTCCCCAAAATCTCCTCCACAGGGTGCTGCCAATAGACTGGGAACTAATCACCTCTCCACCTTCTCTGGGAGAAACTCACTGGATCGAACTCTTTTCAGTGTCTGGCTGTCGGGCAGGTTTTCTAGCCCTTGGATCATCTGCTGAACCCCAATTGCTTGATGTCTTGTTTGACATGCAGCCCCCCCGGCCCGAAGGTGGGCGCAGTCTCCACTCACGCTCTTCTTGACGCTGTACCAGAGGGGACCCTGCCACCTGGCTCCTACTCGTTAGCCCTCTGCTTCTCCAGCCAGAGCATCACCTGGGAAGCTCTTGGTTCCACCAGAACTCCTGGGTCCTTGAGAGTAGCTGCTTTCCAGGGCACCGCCCCCCAGCCTGTGAGTGTGACCCACATTCTTGGTGTTCCTGCATCCTGGAACGGATATTGCACCCGAGGGGTCTGTCTATCTTAGGTGCTTATTTGGTCCCTCTCCTCTTAGTAGCTAAGCACGTTGCAATATTTATCCTCACAACACCCCTGGGCAGCAGGGCAATGCGCCCATCTCCAGCTTATAGATGGGAAACGAGGCACCAAGCTAATTGCCCACAGCCACACATGGAGCGTCTGTGTCAGGGGAGGGAATTGATCTCCGCTCTCCAGTGCCCCCTTCTGGCCTTGGAAGCTATGAATAGTGTATTACCAGCAATTAAAAAAAAAAAACATTCGGGGGAACATTTCCTTGCGCAGGAAATGCCAGTATTTCAACTTTTCCTTTGGATTCAAGCCCGATTCTGAATCAACAGAAATTCCATTTCTCTGGCCAGCTCCACCCAAGAGCTAGATGCACTCAGGGGACTGAGGGGCCGCCAGCCCCATCACCATGGCAGCGCTGCATCCGCTGTTGCCCCGGAAACCCAGAGCTCTGAGGACAGAAGAAGATGCGGAGGCATGGGTGTGTCTCTCATGTTTTATTGGGGTTCCCGGGGCGACTCACCCGCCCCGTACAGTTTGCTGGATCCAGTTGATGTATTTGCTGACCTTGGTGTAAACACCCGGTTTGTTAGGTTGGGCGCACTCCTCCAACCCCCACGACACGATGCCTTGGAGGCTCCCGCCGCATACCAGGGGACCCCCGGAGTCACCCTGTGGAGATAGAACCATGTGTCACCAGCCGTGTACCCCTCCCCGATGTGCCCATGGGGGACGGGGGGGGCAATGGCTCAGTGGGGAAGAAGGAGGCAAGCATGCGTTTGGAGAGGGGAGCGGCAAATATGCAAATCAACTGCTGAAATAATTTGCATAAAGCATCACATGGAACGGAACTGGGCGGAACCCAGGTTGGCCCCGCCCCGGTGTCAACTGCAGTGCAGAAGCCCCACCCATAGTGTCAGCTCCAGCGCTAAAACCTTGCCCCTAATATTCCCGGCTGCCCCCGCTTTGTAGCCCTCTGCTCGCATCTACATTCAGCCTCCTTCCTTGTTGCTCGGCCTCCTTGAAGGCCCAGCAGTGGCAGGTTCGATCCCTGATGCCCCACGCATGGGGAATTTTCTACAACACTCATCCCCACATGCTGCCACGACACGGGGAGGGGCTGAAAAGGGGTCGGCATAGACCCCACACTACCCATTCTCTGCCAGCCACAGTCCCTGATCCTCTTTCCGCCACTCGAGGTCAAACGTAGAGCTCGCTGGGAATGTTTTGACAAAGCAATTTTCCATTGAAAAATGGCAATTCGTCAGCACTGAATTTTTTCACGGGACAGGACACCCGTTTCCCAGGCATCTACCCAACGTAGCTGCAACAATGTCCCAGACCTGGCAAGAATCAATGCCTCCTTGTCGCACACCAGCACACAGCATGTTGTCCGTGACCAAGCTGGAATACTCTCTTCGACATTCTGCCGCTGAGACAATCCTGAGTTCAGCGCACTGCAGCAAGGCTGGGAATGACGCTGCTGGATGCAAGAGAAATAGAACAATCAACGCTAAATGGCTCTGAATTCTCATTTGCACCACCCAGGCAACGAAAAGGGAAAATCAACGCAGGCGGGGAATTGCTCAATAAACGGGTTTTGCACCGAAACGTGCCGGTTTGTTGAACAGGGGAGTTTTCGGCCACTCTCCCGACTCGACCCTTTTTTGGATAACAGAGTTTCGAAAGTATCCGAGGGGTAGCCGTGTTAGTCTGGATCTGTAAAAAGTGACAGAGTCCTGTGGCACCTTATAAACTCACAGACGTATTGGAGCATGAGCTTTCGTGGGTGAATACCCACTTCGTTAGATGAGTGTCCGCGTTCATCCGACGAAGTGGGTATTCACCCACGAAAGCTCATGCTCCTATACGTCTGTTAGTCTCTAAGGTGCCACAGGACTCTGTCGCTTTTTACAGAGTTTCGAAATTGTCGAGAGTTTTGCAACATTTTCAAACTGGAAAATGTTGAGGGGGAGGGGGCGTGAGTTGAAACAACTTTTTATTTTGAAATGTTAGGGAAAAAAAAGAGGGGAAAGTTTGAAAGCGAAAGGAAACGTTCCGAAGTGATCGAAACAAAAGGTTATGATGGACCCCGAATTGAAAATTTTAAATAACAAAAATATAATTTTTCCTCCTGGGTCAGGATGAGAAATTTTCTCAATATCTGGAATACCCCCTCTGCCCTTCTCAGGTCCCACCCCATCCCAGATGAAGGAGACATGTGTCTGACTCAATGTCCCCCTCTAGTGGTGGCTGAGCGGGTTGCAGCCGTGGCTAATGCAGCTGGCTCATCAGCTCATGTGTTAAGAGCCTAGAGGTCCCAGGTTCATTGCTGTATCATGTGGGTCAACGTACGCTGGGGGGAGGTGGTGGTGCCCCATCCAGACACCTGGCAGGTGCTCCCCGGCGGGGCGGTGCTGCTGGCCAGTGCGATGGGGTGCACGTTGTTATTCAGCTGCACGGGGGTGACGAGTTTGATGAGCATGATGTCGTTGTCCTTGGTGGTGGGGTTGTAGTTGGGGTGGGGAATGAGTTTCGCTGCCACCCGGCGCTGCTCGGAGTCATCCATCTGCCGCAGGTTGTACTCGCCCAGCCGTATGTTGGTGGTGCTGAAAGCAAATGCAAATAGCAGCTTGTCTGGGGAAACTGACTGAAAAACAGCTGAGAGATCAGGCTGCCGGACGCCGACCGAGATCGGGCCCCGTCGTGCCGGGCGCTGCCCAGACCCCGACCGAGATCGGGCCCCGTCGTGCCGGGCGCTGCCCAGACCCCGACCTGAGATCGGGCCCCGTCGTGCCGGGCGCTGCCCAGACCCCGACCGAGATCAGGGCCCCGTCGTGCCGGGCGCTGCCCAGACCCCGACCGAGATCAGGGCCCCGTTGTGCCGGGCGCTGCCTAGACCCTGACCGAGATCAGGGCCCCATTGGGCCAGGCGCTGCCCAGACCCTGACCGAGATTAGGGCCCCATTGTGCCGGGCACTGCCCAGACCCCGACCGAGATCAGGGCCCCATTGTGCGGCCCAGGCACAGAAGGTCCCTGTTCCAAAGAGCTAAATACACAAAGGCTGGGAGGGGAAACTGAGGCACGGCCCTGGGAAGTGGCTTGCCCCAGGTCACACAGCAGAGAGAGGTGACTCCCAGTCCTTCACCCTACCCACTGGCCACTCCGCAGCCGGGCCGCGGAAAAAACGTTGCTGACTCATGGCCGGTGGAGAAGAGCTGACTTTGCACCGCTGGGCGTTGCAGGCGAGAACGCCGGCTGGATTGGGCTGGATAACCAAGATCCGGTTTCTTTCAAGCCTCCCCCCTCTCCCCCCCACCCAACTGTCCTTGGCATCCGATGCGCCACCTGCAGTTGCAGACGAGCTCTTAGCCGTGGAAAGGAAAAAGATCGCTCCATAGCTGATCAGGTCAACCCGTCGCTCCCGATATTTTTTCTAGTAGCAATAAGCACTGTCGGGTTATTGAAGCGAACTGGAGATTTGCTGCCGAGAAATGGGTCAGCGGAGTGGGGGGTGGGTTTCATAACCTGGGGGACATGCTCCTAACCTCTCTCACCCCCCCTCCACCTACCTTGTCGTGGATTTAGTGTGGGGGGGGGCGAAGTGGGGCGCTGGAGCCTGCGTATTTCCCCCCCCTCCGCTCTGTAGTTTCATACGGTTCATTTATTTGGAAGGGTTTGAAGCCAGAACCGAAATCACGCCAGGCAGGGCGAGCGAGGGGCCGAGAGGAAGGGGGGTTAGGAAAAAAAAAAAAAAACTGTGGTAAAAAAACCCAGGCACCAAGCAAAAGCGGATTTCAATGACACTTTGCATTTAGTTAATTTATTACTGGGATTTCCGGCACAGCGACTGTAAGGAACTTTTACATGGACTTGTTGAATTATTTGTATTTTTCATGCCAGAAAATTAAAAAGTTCAGAATCTTACGCGTCTCTCTCTGCTGCGTGCGGGGGGGATGGGCCGCCGCCGGCCAGGCATGCGTGGGGCTGAATGTGCGTGCAGGGGAGCGTGTGTAGGCGTGTGCATTCCCAACCGCAGTCACCCCTGAGGCCTTCAAAATCCTAAGAGCGGCTCAAAAATCATGGGATTTTAACAAGCACGTGTGTTCATGTGTGTGTTCGCGTGTGTGTGTGGGCATGCGGAGGGCTTTTTGTACCGTGTTGGGGTCACGCTCTTCAAACATCACGGGTTCCGGGGGGGGGGGGGGGTTGGGTGGGAAATGTGTTCTCGGCAGCCCCGAGCCGCTGGCGAGAAGCGCAGGAATGGGAGGTGCTCTGGGGGCGGCTATATCACCCGAGCCCTCCAGAGAGCTGGTCGTTGGCCAAGCTCACAGCACTGTCCAAACAGGTGGGGAAACTGAGGCAGAGGGCGGGGCCGTGACTCGCCCCAGGTTGGGCAGAGGCGGGGCTAGAAGCCAGGGCTCCAGAGGCCCAAATCTGCCCTCTCGCCCCTGCCCGTTAACCCCCCGACCGACCGTCACCAACTGTTTGGAAACAGAGCCTTCCTCTAAAATGGGAGCGTTCCCTCGGCTAGAGTGGCCGAGCTCCCCGGGACTCCGGCAGCTGGGGCTTTCTGAGCGAGACAGAGAGGGGGAAACTGAGGCACAGAACAAGACAAAGGCGCGGCTCCTTGATGGTACGTAGGCACCCGGCTCCCGCCGAGGTTCGGGCCCGAAGCACCTGGACCAAGATCACGTGCTGAGGCAGCGCCAGCGCCGGGCACTGAACTTGGGTCTGCAGCCCCCTGGGGCCGGGGAAAAGCCCCCTCCCAGTGCCCTGCTGGCCCCGGCGGGCGTCTCCGTGCCCTGGGGTGGGCACCAGGCTCCTGCAGGGAGGCGTCAGCCCTGTTGCCGGCCAGAGCCGGTTCCCATCGGGCCTCGCAAAAAGGGAGCCACGGCTGGGGCGGCCGGGGAGGGGGAAATGGTCGGGGGGGGGGGCACAAACCCATCAGAACAGACCCAGGACCCAGAGCACGGCTCTGCCCCGCCTTGCCACCACGACGCACACGGGGCAGCTTGGCTGGGCGCTGCCCTTGGCCTCCCCCTCCCCCGCCTGGGCCCCTTCCTCCCCCAGCCGCCTCCAATGGGGGAGGGGGGCTGGGGCTGACCTCCCCTCCCCCGCAAGACCCCAGCTTAGTGCAGCCGCCCCCTTGCTGGGGGGCTGCCCTGGGGCACCGTCTGTGCTGGGAGCTTCCCCCCCCCCCCCGCAGCAGGCACCTGGGGGCTCAGCTGGGAGCGGGGGCAGGGAGGCCCCTTTGTTATGGAAATGGGGTGGGGGCAGCAACAGGAGGGAGCAGAGGAAAGGCACCAAAGCCCCCCCGCCCCGTAGCTCCCTGCCAGCCCAGAGCCGGCAGCAGTGGGAGGGGCCCATGGGGTGGGCAGAGCGGGGAGGGTCATCCCCTAACAGCCCTGTCGGTGCCCCTCACTCCTGACCCGCAGCCCCCTGCTAGCCCAGCCCCTGACCCCATCCCCGCTGCCCCTCACTCCCGCCCCGCAGCCCCCTGCTAGCCCAGCCCCTGCCCCCACCCCCGCTGCCCCTCACTCCCGCCCCGCAGCCCCCTGCTAGCCCAGCCCCGCTGGTGATGGGTTCAGGACAGACGCAGAGCTGGGGAGAAACGTCCTTTATTGAGATGGAAATCCTTGACGTGCGTTCTCTCCGCTCGCTCCCTCGGCGCTGGCCAGGGGTCCTGACCCCTGAGTGCCTCCCCGCCCCCGGCCTCGCTGCCTGGCTCAGTCGACGCAGGGGCTGGGGGCGGGAGGCAGCCCCTGGGGCGAAGGGGGGGCGCCCTCATGGCATGGAAGTTCTTGGCCTTGGGACCCTCTGCTGGTGACAGGAGCCCCCGAGTCGCTGGGCACACGGGCAGCGCCCCCAGCAGAGCTGCCCACGGAAGATCACCCAGGGCGTCGGGGGCACTGCCAGGGACCTGTGCCAGGCTGAAGGGGAGTCCAGTGGAGGCAGCCTGGCAGCTGCCCGGCGGGCACGGGGCACGACTCACATTCTGGTGTCGAAAAGGCAGCTGGCGGGCCGTGGGCGTCTGTCCGGACAGGCGGGCGCTGAGAGATCCCGGTGGGGGCAGCGGGGGGCGGGCACAGCCGTGGGCAGTGGTGAGATCCGGATCGGGGCTGGGGGAGGAGAGTCACTGGACCAGCGTCCTCAGCCACCCCCTGGAATGGCCTGGTTGGGAAGTGGGGCCGCAGGAGAGAGACTGTGAGAGAGAGAGAGGAGGTGCCCTGTGAGATGGGGGGCACTGGGCAGGGGACGCAGCCCTGCTAATGCCAGCAGGCCCCCTGGGGCCCCCAAAGAGCAGCAAGGGTCAGTGACAGATGGGGAAACCGAGGCATGCCAAGCCCCTCCCCGCCCTGGGGGCAGGAGGAAACAGAGGCACACCCAAGCTGGGCTATCTAAGGACACATGGCCGGTCCCATCCCTGCTCTGGGCTCCGGTCGCTTCCCCCCGAACCAGGATTGGTCCCCCCAGCGCCACGAGGTGGGGGGCTGGGCGAGGTGGGCACATACCTGGCTCTCCCGGCCCCTCACAGCTCGTCGTGGTCGGCGGCTCCAGGGTCGCGGGGCTCCTGGCAGGCGGCCGGCGTCACCAGCTCCATCAGGTACTCGCAGCGGCTCGGCTCCGTGGTGGACGTCACCACGGTCTCTTTGCCGCACGTCAGCTTCACCTGGGGGCCGGAGGGCGATGGTCAGCCTGGGGCGCGGGGAGAGGCTCCCAGCCACGCCCTGGGGCACCTCCGGTAAAGCCCCCATGGCCGTTTCCATTGCAATGTGCCTGTCTGGGCCCAGAGACCCCCCCCGGCCTTCCCGTGCCAGCGAGCCGGGCGTCAGACAGGAATGGCTGGGGGGGAGCGGCTTTGGCCTGCTGTACACAGGGGCCCACCATGGACCTGCGGGCTTTAACACCCTGGGGTAGGGTGGGGGGTAGAGCTAAGGGGGACCCAGTGCCTGGGGGGGCAGAATTAAGGAGAATGCAGCACTGGGGTGGGGGAGCAAAGCTAAGGGGGATAAGGGGGAGGCAGGGCCTGCCCCCGCTATTGGCAGCTGCTCCAGTGGTATATCTATGGGCACAGCGCTGTCTGGGCTTATGCCCCCCATGGGAGGATGGGGCGGGGGGCAGAGGGCGGGGGGGGG